GAGGATTAACTGAACTGAACTGAATTAGTCTCTTGTAACGTGGCACAGAGGTATATAGGCCTTGCATTTATGTTGAGAACATTTATTGCTACGTTATGTTACGTTATTCACTATCTGTATTGGAAAGTGGGGGGCTGGACAAATGTCTCTATTCTCTAACGTTGCCTCTCATAAGATGTATGGTTGCTCAGTGGAATATAATTTTTTGTTTACTTTTGCTTTATCCATGACCTGTACTTAGCTTGTCAGAGCACAAAAGTCCAAAAATGCCTTTCATTCAATTATGCAAAACTGCAGCTATATCATATGTAGATAATTGCTTGTGCGTAAGATAACTCACATCTGCAACCACAGAACAAATGCTATGAAAACGATGAGGAATTCGAAGTATTCCAAAGGTGTTAAGATAAATTGTCATGTGTTTTCTTTTACCTGGGTGCCACCAGCTACAGGGGACAGAAGGAAGAGAGGTCGGTCAAAGAACACCTGGCGAAGAACCTTTCTAAAGGGCAAACATAACCTGGGAAGAGGCTGAGGAGGCAGCAGCCACTAGACCCAGATGGAAAGTTGCTGCGCGATGTGCCTGAGTGTATAGGCACAGGAAGACCTACGGTGTAAGGTAAGGTTTTTCTTTTACCTGAGGAATTCCTCGATGCTCGCCGGGTCCATCGCGTCCCTCAGCTGAGTAGCCCAGTCTGTCTGAGCCTCTCCCTGGGCCAGCAGGGTGCGCTCTGCGTCCGTCTCGCTTGTCAGCTTACCACTCTTCGTCTCCGAAGGCTTGGGCAGCACGCTGGCAAGGAGCCCGCAGATAGCAGCAATGATCAAATACCTTCTTGTGGCCATTATTACGGTACAGAAATCTGTGTGATTGTTCAAATCAAGTACCTCAACTCAGTACCTCACTTAGCTGTTGCCGTAGCAGCAGCCGCACCCACGTACTAAATTGAATGGATCTCAACCGCCTTTTATTTGCGAAATGTATCACTGCGCGGCGCGTAGACCAACCTTGAAAAAGCGGTTCGTGGCGATTGAAGTTTCTTTGAAGCGACGTGGATGGTTTCTACCCGGAACCATTGTCGCTTTATGTGGCGATTGAAGTTTATTTTAAAAAGGAAACTTCAATCGCCAGATATAAACTTCAATCGCAAGATACCGCGTTTTCAAGGTTGACATGTAGCTAGTCTTAGTAAACAACGTGTGACTCGAAATGCCAGTTAAGGCTACACGGCGGAGACTTCTCAAACTTTCTTGTCTGTCCAAATATCCCACATGAAATTCAGAATTAACGGTAACGGACATAAACATTCAAATAAATGCATGCGTTTTCTAATCATGTATACATATAGCCCGCACAAAGTATTCCAAGAAATATCCACGGCTTAACCCTATTCACGGGGGGGGGGCGTATGCTTTTGAGGCGGTAGAGTTTCTAAGGTATTGTAAGTTAACACAAGGACATTTTACTTGGATGTACGTACTAAATCGAATGGATTTCAAACACCTTTTATTTGCGAAGTGTATCACTGCGCGGCGCATAGACCAACGCGTCATCACGACGCGGATGGTTGCAACAATCAATCAATCAATCAATCAATCAATCGTCCGCGGGCTTCATGGCAGAAGCATGGCGGCTGTAGACAGTTGTCTCCAGTTCTGTTGGCAGCAAGAACTCTCCAGGTTTCCTCAAATGTCCTTGTCCTTACATATACGTCAATATATATACGGATTCACCACCCGGATCCACTTAAAATAAACTTCAATCGCGACGTACCGCGTTTTCAAGGTTGACATGCAGCTGGTCTAAGTGAGAATAAACAACGTGTGACTCTAAAGCTACATGGCGGAGACTTCTCAAACTTTTTTATTCGTTCAAATATTGAAATTCAGAATTTGCTATTAGCAGCCCAATCGACTGACAAATGCATGGCTCTCCATGAGGGACTTATACATGGACTAATCTTAGGTGAACACAGGATTCACAAGGAAGCGGCCAGTTGTGTCGGTTATTTTAATAGGAATAACAAGATTTTGATTTTAACAACAAGAATGAAGGATGAAAGTGTATATTATTATTTTACCCATGCTACCATCACCATGGGGTTTGTGCCGCTTAGCAAATGATATCCAGTCAATGACTTTGAGTCCTGCCTCGGCGCGGTTGGAATAAGGTAGCAGGTATTAATGGGCGACCCCCCGTGGACGATGACGCGGGTATAGAAAGTAGTGCAGCGAATATTCTTGAAGGCTGGGTAGAAAGACTGATAAGAGCGTCAGCCAGATGTAAATGGTGCTGTGTGGTGTAGGAATGTATCGGGTTTGAGACTGTGTGATTTGAATTGTGAAGGTTTTGCAGTTCGTGTATAAATGCGCCGTATTGCGCAACTGGCTTTCCGGGTGAGTCGGCTGCAGTTCAGGTCACGTCCGTAGGGGGTGATTTCAAAGTGTACGTTACGAGCAGATACGCCGACAGGATTTTTTGGTTTCTAGATATTTTGTAGTTTGTACCTTCTTCTCAAACATATTCGATTTTCGTATTTGTGAAGTGCACCCTGCTATAATTTTTACCGCGTCGAAGTGAGTCATCTTGGGGTCCTTAACTATAGAAATCCCCATAGGGCGAAAACTGTGTTCTGCTACCTTCAATGGCTCTTAGTTTCTTATCATGCAGCGCCAAATGGAACCGCTCGGTGGCGCAGTTGTATTGAAGAGAAGAAAAAAAAAGCAAGGTTAGGTGATCCCTCAATGTATGTGTGGACATTTGGGTGAAACGGAACATGGCATGCTTAGGAAATGGTATGATAGTAGTGGCGGTAAGGTGTCGGTTTACGTGTATGTACATAAAAATAT